CGCACAATCCTTTTCTTGAGTTGATCCCGCACTTATTTTGTGATAAAATTATTTGGGTCTTTTTCTACCATAATCATTATATGGAAGGAATGTCAAGTTCTAATCCTTGATTATTAAGAATTTTTTTGCGTTAGCCGATTTGGTAATTGTTATTGATTTTCATTTAAAATTCCAATTTCAGACGAAAATCAATTTCAGTTTATAACAAAAAGAATTAAATCGGGTCATATTACAAATTATTTGAATCATAACAAAAGAACTTAATAACAAAGAAAAATTTTACATTTATTAATTCTGGTCGTATTAAAAATAATTAAAATCATAACAAATAAATATGTAAAAAGAAAGTAATTTTTTTTTTATAATTTTTTGTAAATCTTTTAAGTACTAAGAACAAGAAAATATGATGATTTTATACTCGCAAATAGTTTAGATGATTGTATCTTTATTTTTTATTTTGTTGCTGAACGAAGAATGATAATCTATTCATTAGAAACGAAAACTTTATAAATATAAGAACTTTCCACCGTTATCCTTCTAACAAAAAGAAAAAATAAAAATAAAAAACAACTTTACCAACAAAAAAAAAAAACAAAAAATTACAAAATGAATACCGTCATCAAATTCAATTCATTTATTTCAATTCTTTTATTATTCTCCTTATTCGCATTGTTCAATGAAGTAACAGCTCTAGCTATTCAAAAACGAGGTAACCTTTACTTTTTTTTTTCTTTTTTTTTCTTTCTTTTTTAAATTGATCTTTTTTATTCATTTTAAAATTGATCTTTTCGACCTATTTCCTTTATTTATTATACAGATATGCCATCTGAATATAATACATGTGGTGGTAAGTTTATTATTATTTTTTGTTTTTTTGTAAAAACCAAAATATATATAAATTTTTAATAAAATCTTTTCCTTCTTACCCGTTCACAGGAATTAAATTCATTTCTCCTAAAGCTGGTGACAAATTGATAAATCTTGAAGAGATTGAAGTAGTTTGGGAAACAAACTTTTATACAGAAGAAAATGGCCTTGACTTATATAATGAAAATGGAAATTTTGTTAAATCATTCTGGGAAGAGATTATTCTTACCGAAAAAGATAGTAAAGTTTCGGGAAAAGTAAGACTTATAGTTCCTTCAAATACTAAATTACCTGATAAATTTACGTTTAAAATTTCGGGCAAAGGTGAAGATTACATGCCTTGTTCTACACTTAGTGAAAGTTTTACTATACATAATAATGATGAATAGTGTTTAACAATAAGAAAGAATACTCGCGTTAAATTTTATTAATTAGTTCCTCGTGAATAAAAAAACAATATCATTATTTAATTATCAGCTATTTGAAAAGATTTTCTAATAAAAATACAATTCCATTTTTTTAAGTGCAGCCGATCATTTGCTTTATTTGGCAAAGCGTTTCATAGTAAATTTAAATAGTTAGCTTTTTCGTCAAACGACATTTTTTTTTTTTTTTTTCATTTAGTGTTAAAAAAATAAATAATATTAAAAACATGTGTACTTCATTTTATGAAGATTTATCAAACAATTTCGGTTCGTTGCTTAGTTCAGAGTTTGAGTATAATGTCATAATCGATGTAGGAAATGGTCAGACCACAAAGAATATCATGCTCACTCTGTTGTCCTTTATAGTAGGTCATCATATTTTCAATCGTTATTTTCATCCTATAAAGTTGAGAAAAGGGATGGAATATCTATCATTAGGTTTCCAGGCATTAGTGAAATACGTTTCAATCCATTATAACGTAAGTTACCTTTATACTTTTGATTGTTCGAGAACTCTTTTAGAACACGAACTGGTATTAATCCCTTTATTGAATAGTTTTATCTATACCGGAAATATTGACCTGACCGATAAGGAGGGAAATATTAAATATTCTGTTCATCTCTCAACAATTTTGTTTAAACTCCCTAACTAAATTCATTGAAAATATCTTATAGAAAACCGTTCTGAATATTTAAGGAAGTATCCCGTGGAAACCCTTCAGAGTATTTTATTTAGCATGTTCACCTTTAAAGATTTACAGGAAATTTGTATAGAGGCAATCTGTTATGAACCGGAACTCATTTTCCTCACTGATAATTTTACTCAATTACCCGTTCCTCTATTAGAAATTATTCTTAAGCGGGATGATCTTAATCTGATTGAGATTGAAATTTTGGGAAAATTTAGTTAAATGGGGTATCAAACAAATTTCAAGGCAACTTAATGATAATGTTGATGAATGGACTCAAAAAGATTTCGGAAAATCAATTGATATCAGAAAATATTTGACGGCATAACCGGCATGCAAAATAATTTCAGAGTTGATCGGTCGCGTTCTTTTAGATGATTCTATTAAGATATAATTCTCGAATTGTAAATTAGATATTTAAGTAATTAACTACTGTTAGTTTATCCAATAAAAGAAAATATTCACATAAAAAATAAATCAAAATTATTTTTATTTTTTTATTTAATTGGGATCTCGTCAAAAATTTGTTAAAAAAAATATAATATATTTCAACAACAAATTTAGAATGACCTGACCTATAAAAAAATGAATGTCCAGAAAACGTGCGTAACATTGAGTCGTTAAATCTTGTACGTAAAATATTTACTATTTGCTCCGAATTGATAGATACACATGTCGCTTTTTTTTTTTTTAAAAAAAAAAAAAGCATATCTTATGAAAAGAGTAAGTTTGTCAAAGAGTCAAAGAGTCACAGAGTCATAGAGTCAGAGCAACTAGACCGCCAATTTTTCTTTTTTATTTACAGGTGAACGAAATGTACGCATGTAGATGAATTTGATGGTTTTGAGCATGGCATTTTGTGTTCAGCCCTTACAACATGCAGATTTTGCAAAACTTGCGATGAACATTGTAATTGTAAGTTTAATAATATTTTCACGATGAATCTGTGACTCTGTGACGTGACTCTGTAACTTGAAAAAACAAAATTTGCGTGGCTCTTCAATTGGAAACATAGAAATATTACATCTCAAAATCTACAACCTCTATATCCAGACCGTGGAAAGTTGTTCGCTTGAACAAAAAAAAAATTTTTATTATTTTTTATAAATTTTAGGTTTCCCTTAAATGTTAATGTTAGGTAGAATTTAATTTATATTACGTAAGCAAATATTTTTTTTTTGTTTAACCCGCCTTACCTCATTTTTTTTTCATTCAAAGTATACTAAAGATTTAAGCATGCATTTTTATTATTAAGAGCGTGGTATTTTTGAACTTAACAGTAGTAATGTGTGGTCGCTAATTTGTTCACGAGCGGTAGCGTTTGACCGCTCCTAATCTCTTCCCGAATGTAAGCATTATAAACTTCTGTACTGTAATTTAAGCTTGCTCCATGTTTAAGATCTAGAAACATAAATTAAGAATATAAATGTTTGACTTTATTGATTTAAATCTTTAATGTCGAAATTCACATAAAAAATTAAAATTTATATTTACAATCTTACTCGAGAATGGGAAATTATTGATATGGGACGGTCAATAGAAAGGGGGAAATCTAATAAATTTTGGTTATTAAGCTAGTTTTGTTCACATGACCATGATCAGCAGAGTGAACCATTAAAAAAATTTTTGACTAAAAAGTGGATTTCCCCTTTTCTACTGACCGCCCCCATATGTCGGTCAACGAAATTTCTAATAAAATATTAATGATAGATCTATCGATTATAGTTATACATACAAACTTTAAATAGACGTAAAATACTCTTGAACTTTTTATATAACTTTAAATTTCTATCCCGCTGAATTTTTGCCTAATGTTTCTTTACTCGGTTTATGTATTTCGATGTTTTATAATCCATTTATTCGTTTGCGCTATTTTTTTTTTTCGATTCAAATGAACCATTATGTTGGATCTCTTACGAGCAGTAAAAATATAAAAAAAGATCATCCTAAAACACGTGAGTATGCAAATCGCAAAGTTTACACTTTCCCTTATTTGGAATCCTTGTCATATTTGGAGAATTTAAGGGACGCGTATGAGTTAATTATTGACGAAGAAAATACTTTTTCTTTTTTCTAGATTCGAATCGTTTTTCAGAAACGTTACATAAAATCAAGCCAAATGAGTTCCAACGGATTCTACCTAGGAACCTTTCGAGAAAGTTTTCAAGGCAAAAAATGTAACCGCATGGTATAGATTAGTAACTATTCCTAATTTAGCTTTTAATCAATATATTATAAATCGGGGACTTACAAATTAGGGTGGGCTACTGCTTTTAAGGATCTTAATAAATAAAATAATTTACCGTATGGGTTTTTTTTTACATGAGGAAATAGAATGAAAATGTAAAGGCGAGACGAATCGAGCATTGATGCGAAAGTCAGAAACGGTCAAAAATGAATTGGTTGATATAACGAAAGCAGATCAGTTTTCGATTCAATGTAATTAGGACTTGGCAAATTCAAATTCAGCTGAAATCTTATGTGCAAAATTCATTGCGGAGGATCATAAAGTTCCAGCGATTTTCAAATAATGAATAGTAATGATAAAAGCAATCTTTGACAATAATATTAATCTTATAAAACTTACATGATCTGACTTAAAACAATGTATTGGCATTATCATATAGATTGGTTGACATATTTCCATGTAATGTTGTACTGTATATCCTGGGAGATTTCGGACAATGCATGACATAAAGGTTACAAACCGAATTCACGTTTTCACACACTTTTACATATATTGCGTAAGTAATTACGGTAGGCATTTATGTTCGGAGAAAATATATTTTTTAACAAACAGATTTACAGTATATACTGCAGAAGAATATTTCTAACGATGTTGAAGGAACAACGAAATGTATCAAATTGTTGATCGAGGATTCCTTTTAAAAGGGGAATATGACCCTTAAAGTCGCAAAAATTGTTAAATTATGTTCAAATGAAAAAATCTTCTCACGATTTACATCATCAAATGAATTCGATACAGTATGTGACATATGGGGGGCGGCTTGCCGCCGGAATATAAACCGAAGATTTAGCGTTAACACCAAGATTGCTTGGGCAAAATCTAAATAGAAATGCTTGATACTCTAATAATACCTTACCATTAATTGTTACTGAATTTTGTATAATATGTAATGAATCAGTTGTCTAATGACCTTCATATATCAAATTTAATATAACAGTCAATTTGGAAAACCTTCTAAGTTTTTCTTCCCTTTGAGATTTCACACATTTAATCCTTTGATTTTTAATATTAGATTATCAGAATACAGTCTTGATCGAGTATTTAAATAAACTTTATATTTATTATTCTAATCAGTTTCGTAATCATAATCATTATATTTTTTATCAGTATATTGATCTGCTAAATGCATTTCTTTAGTTTCATTAAAATAGGACCTGTGGTTATCAGGATAATATTATTATAGCTGGATATAATTTTGCGTAATATGTCCTAAAGCATTACAATTATAGCAAGTAAAATTATTAGATTCTGTATTTTGAAGCCTATAAGCAGTGATGTATATTTTTGATATTTCAGAGATTTGTTATCCTAGCTATATATTCCAACCTATCCCACATTATGTCCCAAATGTCCTATCTGTCCTATCAGTGTCTTATTAATATCCTATAATAATACTGCCTATAAGTACTCACGTTTAGTTTATTTCTTCTTTTTAAGGTCTGTGGCTAGGCTAATATCGCAGAGGATAAATTAGTATAATTTATGGTAAGTTGTTCTAATTTCTTTGTAAGTTCATCTATTTCTGTATTAATAACCAGAGTGGGCCTAATTAAGGTATAGTCATAAATTACAACTTCAATCATTTCCTTCTAAATTTTAAGTTCCTGCTCAAATATCTATAGCTTCATTAACTAAATTCTTAAACTTTTTACAGATAAAATTAATTTAATCATTCATATTTAAAGTTTATTACAGAAAATTGAAACTTTGCATTTTTACCAAATTATTTAATTTACTAAAAAAAGAGTTAGTAAAAGTTGCTGATGTAAGAAATTTTATTTATTCAAATAAGTTATTTTAGTGATTTAATACTTAAAGAAGTGCAG